GTACCGCAGCCGAAGTGCGCGAGAAGTTGGAAATCGCCAAGGACACAGAGATCAAAATTAACGCGGCTCGTGAAGAATTCAGGTTAGTCTCGCTTTTCATTTCCTAAGTCAGTGCGGGACACGGTCAACTCGCCAAGGGCGACTCGCCACCGGACCACTCGCCAGCGACTGACTCGCCACCGGGACAACTCGCCAACGCGACAACTCGCCAATGCGACACCTCGCCAACGGACGACTCGCCAACGAAATATTTTCCCTGTTTAATGTGTCATACCAATGCATCCCACAAATGCAATAGCCAATTTCCCTAATTTTGTAAACAAAGTTTATCCAAAAATTGTAGTCCATATTTGAATCAAGATTCAACCGCCTATACCTGTTTCTATTACTCATTTTGATATAACGACATCTTCTGCAAATTATTATTTGAACAGAAAATTTGACAATCACATCGTTATTTGAACGAAATATTAAACAGGGAAAAATATTTCGTTGGCGAGTTGTCGCATTGGCGAGTTGTCGCATTGGCGAGTTGTCCCGTTGGCGAGTTGTCACGTTGGCGAGTTGTCCCGTTGGCTAGTCGGGCGGTGGCGAGTGGTCCGGTGGCGAGTCGCCCTTGGCGAGTTGACGCGTATCGGTCAGTGCGAACTTTTTAGGCCGGTTGCAACGCGCGGGAGCGTATTGTATTTCCTGACGACTAGCATGGCGATGGTCAATTGTATGTATCAGACGTCTCTAGAGCAATTTTTGGAACGATTTGACATTTCCATGCATCGCTCTGAAAAAACTCCAATCACCTCTAGGTAATTGGCTTAGTTGTTTACCGTCGCTCATTGCAAATTGCAGGCGTATTAACTTTATAATCGAGTATATGACCTATGACGTTTACAAATACAAGGTTCGGGGGTTATACGAAGTGGATAAGTATATGTTCGTGATACTTTTAACATTAAAAATCGATTTAAATCGCAACAACATTACACATGAAGAATTTCAATACCTTATTAAAGGTGGGGCTGCTTTAGATTTAAATGCGTGTCCGCCCAAACCGGCCAAGTGGATAACAGATTTGACGTGGTTGAATCTCGTTGAACTTTCAAAGTTGCGGCACTTCCAATACGTTTTGACTCAGGTATGTAAAATTACAACCGTGACACTTGAACCATACGTATGGACTAGGTGGAAAATAATGAAAGGTCGTGGAAAGCGTGGTACGACAAGGATGCACCCGAGGATTCGCCTATGCCAGATGGATACACATCGCTCGATACCTTCAGAAAGCTACTGATGATTAGGTTTGTTTCACTACTATTAGATACGTACGGAACTTGTTCTTGCAGAGCCTGGTGTATTGATCGCACCCTAACACAGAGTCGGAAATATATTGCATCAGCACTGGGCCAACGCTTCGCTGAACCTGTCATATTAAATATGGAACTTTTACAATCCGAAAGCCGCGTATCAACACCACTCGTTTGTTTTTTAACAACTGGCGCCGATCCAACTCCTTACATCGAACAATTATCGAAGAGAATGGAAAACTCAACGAAATGTATGTCGATGGGACAAGGGCAGGAAGTGCATGCGAGAAAGATGCTCGCAGAAGCAATGAACCAAGTGAGTAAATGCCGCAGCGTGCAGCTGTGATCAACTATTTCGTTAAGGGATTCTGGGCTTTGTTACAAAACTGCCACCTGGGTCTTGACTACATGAGCGAAATTCTACTAGTCTTCCTGGAACTAGAGAAAACAGGCGGCGCCGGTGTGCACCCAGATTTCAGATTATGGCTGACTACAGAAGTTCACCCAAAGTTTCCCATCAGTTTGTTACAAATCTGTATCAAATTCACTAACGAGCCTCCATCGGGTAATCGCACACTACAATAAGCTCCAAAATGAAACTCACGGTATAGGTATACGCGCGGGTCTCATGCGCACCTACGGTTCGATGAATCAAGACATGCTGGACAACAACGACCAATGGCAATACCTTCCTCTAATTTACGCGATCTCATTTATGCACAGTGTCGTGCAGGAACGGCGAAAATTTGGCCCGTTGGGTTGGAATATACCCTACGAGTTTAATTCAGCGGATTGGCTTTCGAGTTGCATGTTTTGCCAAAATCATCTCGACGATATGGACCCAATTAAAGGGCCCAGTTGGAGCACAATCAGGTACGGCCATTTAATCCGGACATTTCTACACCGCTTGATGCAGATACATGATTGGGGAAGTGCAATATGGAGGAAGGGTAACGGACGATTATGACAAAATCCTTCTAAACACATTTGCTTATGTATGGTTCGGGGATCAAATGTTCAACGATAACTTTTGCTTCTACAAGGGATACAAGATTTATAGGTTTAAGCAAATGGCCGACTACTTTGTGGCATTCGAGAAAATGAACCCTACAGATCCCCCGCAGGCTTACGGTTTGCACCCCAACGCCGACATTACGTAATATATCTTTCTGTATGCGCGATACATATTGTGTTGTAGGTACCAAACGAACATGACACAAACCATGTTATACACGATATTATCGATTCAGCCCAAGTCATCGGGCGGAGGAGGTGGTGAGACCAGAGAAGCATCAGTTGCAAGGCAAGCTGCTGATATGCTGAGTAAAGTGCCACCAGATTACGATCCGTACGAGGTGAAAGAGAGGTAGTTTTCACAAAGTGATTTAATCCCACATAATATACCTACTTTTGGTTAATCCCCAGGCTGAAGCTAATGGGTATCCTAAACCCACTGAATATCTTTCTGCGGCAGGAAATGGATAGAATGCAAAATGTGATCAAACTGGTACGTGTTACTTTGCGAGACTTATTGCTGGCGATTGAAGGGACCATTATAATGAATGAGGTAAGCATGGAATTAAACATTACGTCTGATACAATTAGTATTGCAGGCGCTTAGGGATGCCTTAGATATGATATACGACGCGATGGTACCAGTAGTTTGGCGTCGCGGATCCTGGTTGTCGAGTTCAATTGGATTTTGGTTTACCGAGTTGCTGGAGAGAAACGCACAGTTTCGCGCGTGGTGCTTTACGTCCAAGCCATCCTCATTTTGGATGACTGGTTTTTTTAATCCACAAGGTTTTCTTACGGCCATGAGGCAGGAGGTAACAAGAGCGCATAAAGGTTGGGCATTAGATCAGGTTGTTTTACACAACACGGTGACTAAGTTGCTCTTTGAAGAAGTCAAAGGTGGCCCTCCTGTACGGTTTGCTACATCACGATCAGGCTAGTGAAAATAGTTGTTTGTAGGAGGGCGTGTACGTGTATGGTTTATATATGGACGGAGCCGGATGGGATCGAAAGAATGCAAGACTGGCGGAGTCCATAAATAAGGTTCTGTACACTTTAATGCCGATTATTCATGTTTTTGCCATATTTTCCACGGCCCCAAAAGACCCTGCGTTGTACAAGGTATATTTCTATCAAACGCCGTTTTATTATTAATCGACTGTATACAGTGCCCTGTGTACAAGAAGCCTCGAAGAACCGATTTGAACTTTATAACTCCGCTGTGGCTAGTTACTGTAAAACCGCCAGAGCATTGGACTTTAAGAGGAGCTGCCCTTTTATGTGATATTAAATAAAATATGTAAGAATTTTACACGTTTACCTATATATTATAAATATACCATATTATACATCTTGGTGGTTCATTTAAGAACGGCGATTTTTTGCACACAGATTTTCAAAATTTTCTAAAAAACTTGGAACGTTCCCTGAACGTTAAAACGTTACATTTCGGTAAGTTGGCACCAGCATTTGTTTCTTGAGAGACGTTTTTAAACGACGAAACGAACTCGAGTAATTTAATTTCACAATAAGTATGAACAGTATACCGCAGTGGTACATATAAGCAATGAGTGGATCTTGACATCAATCTTTTGTAAATATGAACAGTGTTTATGCTTTGGGGCAATAAAGATTTACGTAGAACTATCCCCAATTTGGTATATCAAGTGTATTCTAATTCTGTCCATTAAATACAAAAACAACATCAATCAATAATATCTCGACTCGCCTGTTGCAAATAGAATTCGCCACCCAAAATGACTGAACTTTTTTATTAAGAAAGTTATCTTTGTATGCATAAGAGCCAGGAAAAAGCAACGCCAAGCAAAGCAAGAGGGAAGCAAGAAATGAGTCTAGACAAGGCTCGGCAAGGAATATAATAAGTCAAAACCTATCTATATTTTACAAAATTAAAAGTTAAATAAAAACTCATTGCTCTAATAGTGATTTTATTATAGGAAGTAAATGTACTCGTAGATTTTCGGTTTCGCAATATATGGAGTGTATAGTAGCTGTAGAGGTATAAAGACGCTTTGAATCGAGCAGTTCTGGTTCGTGGATATTCTGATTAATTCATCGTACGAAAAACCTTAATATCTGTTTAGCAGGTGTCCTAGTCTTCACCAATGAATTTTAAGAATATTCGTTTCTTTAATACCGGTCTGAGTTCAAATTATCGCCTAGGAATGGAAATTATGATTCGAGCCTTTAATAAGTACCTATGTGTTGCAATAATTTACGTTACAGTAGATATCTTAAACATTTCTAATATGTTATCATTGGAAAAAACGGAATATCTAAGGTGAGTCAAAACTATTTCAGACGTCATATACCTACATATTATCTTGTTTTAAAAATGTATGCTGAAACGTTGTAGCTGTACTGTATTCAGATTAGCATTTGAATACAAAATAGAATCAAAGGCTTAACTAAATTTAATACATCTTCAATCAGACTATGTAATATTATTATGTTATCAGCAAAGACTATACTCCTCCAATAGTCTTTGGTGTCAGTTAGCATCATGAAGGGTTTATTTGAGTTCAAAATCTCCCAAAAAATACCTTGTTTTGCAATGGCTAACGCAATAGATTTCTTCAGAAATCAGCAAATGATGAAATGTTTGAAGTTGCTATCTAATCCAGAACCTCTTCAATTTGCAATAATTGATGAATAATTTGCTAATATCCCTAACGTATATAAATAAAGACGGAGACTTTCGATGCCACTTGTACAACCGATCACAATGCAAAGTTATCTTGGTATCGTCACCGTAGCTGTCTTCATTTTCACCTTGACAGGTAGGTACCTACGGTAAGGTTTACGAACTAAAAGTAATCTCAATTTTTAGGAAGTAATGGTTTGCCTGGTCGGGGACTCGATGTGCAATCAGTAAACAGAACCATCAATGATTTCTTCCGTAATCTGAGTGATCCACGTTTCATATCCCACGACAGCCATTCCCATTTGGGACACTCTGTTGAATTAAACAATGTGACAATTGGCGGCATTTCCAATGTTCGTGCCTCTGTCATACAATTACCCAAATTTCTGAATAGAAATGCACTCATAGTCCTAAATGCTCCCAAGCTTGAGATCAATGTTACTCAATACAATCTTGCTGGAAACACAACCTATGGAAATGGCAGCGCAAGGTACCTACAACATTTTTATATGCAACATAGATTTACTCTAATTTTTATAGGTTTATTATTGAAGATGTAAAGATCGAAATCAAGGGTGTAAAGCGTCTATTTAGAAACGATATATCCATTAAAAGCGTTTCACTCTCTGTCGGTCACGGACAGGTACGTCTACGGGGTGTCATTTGGGTCATAGTAATTATTTTTTATTTTAGGTTGATATAACGGGCTTGTACAACGACGAAGAAAAGAGTAAGGCAATTTCCCAAAATATGACGAGGTTTTTGAACAACGAATTTAACACAAATAAGAAAGTCCAAGCAAAAGTAAGTGAACGTTTAAAGCCACTAGTTGAAAAGTTAAAAAATAACATATTTGGGAATTGATGGTGTTAACTGCAAAAAAGATACTGGTCTATCTATTGTTGCCGTTTGTGTAATAAACAATGTACCTATGCGTGTGATTTTCATTTAAAAAAAAACCTGGTCATCAATGCATAACGGGATATCTAAGGTGAGTCAAAACTACTTCGGAATCTTGTTATAAAAATGTATGATGGCATGAAGAAAAGCTGTACCAGTACTGTATCCACCGAGGTATCCACCCTAGTTGTCTCGGTTTTTCCATTGAATACACACTACTTACGATGTCAGTTACCTACTATATAATTGATAACTATACAATAAAGATTAATTTTGTTTCTAAATACCTTAATCGCAAATATTTAAAAAAAATCATCTTTTGAACACACACGTACTTCCTGTCTGCGTCACTCCAATAAATATCTATTGTATTATAATATACTTGTATCATATGTCAACATCATGGTGTATAAAAGAATTGAAATTTAATTCAAGATCATCAACAAAATTCCTTGGTTTCACAATAGATTTCTTCAGAAATCGGTCATAATTGCAAATTATGAAATGTTTGGAGTTGCTATCTAATCCAGAACCTCTTCAATTTGCAATAATTGATAAACAATTTGGTAATGTATCCCTAAATGTAAGGTATATAAATAAAGGCTCAGAATTTCGATGCCATTAGATTTGTACAACAGATCACAATGCCAAGTAATTTTATTTTCGCCGTAGCTGTCTTTATTTTGGCCCTCACAGGTCTGTACGGTAAGGCTTACCGACGCATTAAAAGTATAGTTTCAATTTTTAGGAACTAATGGTTCTCCTGGTGGTGGACGCACGGTGCAGTCAGTAAACAGAACCATCACCGAGTTCTTCCGTAAACTGAATGATCCACTTTTCATATCGCACGACAACTATTCCCATTTGGAACACTCTGTTGAAGTAAACAATGTGACAATCGGTGGCATTTCCAAGGTACACGCCTCTGTCATACGATTACCCAGATTTCTGAGTAGAAATGTACTCATAGTCCTAAATGCTCCTAAACTTGAAATCAATATTACTCAATACAATGTTACTGATGGAAAGACAAGCTATGGAAATGGCAGCGCAAGGTATTAACATTTTATATGCAACATAGATTTACTCGCATTTTTTTAGGATTAGTATTGAAAATGTGAAGATCGAGATTAAGGCCGTAAAGCCTCTATTTAAAAGAGATATATCCATTAAAAACGTTTCAGTCTTTGTCGGTCACGGACAGGTGCCTACATATGGTGTCATTTGGATCATTTTAAATAGTGAATATTTTTTTAGGTTAATATAACTGGATTATACAACGACGAAGAAAAGAGTATGGCAATTTCCCAAAATATGACGAGGTTTTTGAACAACGAATTTAACACAAATAAGAAAGCCCAAGCAAAAATTGATGAACGATTAAAGAAACTGATTGAAAAGCAAAAACATAAAATGTTTAAGATATGATGGTGTTCACTGTACAAAAATATGTCTCTGGTCTCTCCATTGCTCCTATTTGCATGTAATAACCAATAAACAATTTAAGAGTTGATTTTCATTAATGAAAAACTGGATGAACCTAAATTATCGCCCTATCAGAATTATTTCTGAGAAGCCAAATGAGCGAAATAGATCATACGACTGTAAAATAGTTCACTCTCACCAATTGGAGATATAAAGTTTCCATTTCTTCAACGAAATTGAGCACACATACCTACTGTAGTGAAATAGTCCTCCGTCCTCTGCATCATCTATTTTTCTGCTGGAAAACGTTTTTTTCAATCCATAGTTACCCCTCTGTCATGGTGTCCGACAATCCGAACTCAATCAAACAAACTATTGCAAAGAAAGGGGAATTTTCCAGAATATCATCGCACCCATCACCCTGCCACAAACGTAACATACAAACATTGAAAAGAAGACTTAGGACTGCTGGACTATCCAGTTCCTCTGTCTACAAAGTTACAGAACATAATGTTCCGTTACCATGCATTAATCAATTGATAGCCACCCTGGTTCCAAAGAAACAAATACTTTTTGAACCCTTATCGTTCTCGTGACCGAGGGCAGGAGTTACTTACTTTTGCAACCGATTCCGCCGAAATATAATGGGGGAGTTTGTCAGTCAGTCAGGTAACATAAGTCTCAATAAAAATCGTTAATTAAAGTTAAAGTTAAATTAAAGTTAAAAAACAATCTCTTAATCACTCGGCCCTAGTCACAACACCTACCTACTACGAAAGTATGTATTATTTATTTCTTGGCCGTACTAACAACTTAAAGCATAGACATTATCATTTCTTAGTTCTCATGCACTCATCAATTGAATAATGACGTGCTGTTAAGTTTAAACGCATTAAATAAATCAGTTTCAGTTACCGACCCTTACGCGAATCTCTTTTAGTTTTTAAAACGCCTGATTACTATGGTAAGCAACAAAAATAATTACTTTTTTTTAATATATTATAATTAGTGGTTGTGATAGGTACCAAACTTAAATTATGTTGATCTACTACAGATCTGATACATTCTCATTTTTGCAAAATACTCCAATCTGCTATTTCCACAGCAAACCTCTGCGATCAGGTACTAGGTACCTACAAGTTTACGAGATATCAGTAGGTCTATTGGAAAGGGTCGGTTTTTATCTAATAGTCCTGCAAATTTAGCACTTAATGGCCATTATAGTCATAATGATAACCAGTAGATTTGAGTCTAAATTAAACTTTACATATAAATCGTGGGTAAATTCCCCGCCACGTCATTATTTGTCAAAATTTTAGACATTCGCGCATTACGTGAAAATTCTAAATTCCTCTTCAAGAAGCATGAATTCTGTAGATAATTTACATTTAGATTCCACCCCTCTATCGGTCCGTTCTCTGATGCACTGCAAATTCGATTACCCGAAACGAGGAAATATTGAGGATGGCCTTTGTTGTCCAGACGATCAAAAAATGTTTCTCACAGCAAGTATGTCCTTTCTACAAAACCACCTGGCACGAATACTGAACACCGATATAAGTTCGCCAGTCAAAGAAGCTCGTCCGAAACGCACCTACTCGGACCTACTCATCCTGGAAAGTTCTCCAAAATGTAAACGGACTAAGAGCTACCTTCGATTAAAAAACATAGAAAAGTACGATGAAATATCGCGAAATGAAGCTAGCTTCTTCTCGCCAATTCTAACAATAAACCAGATCTTACCGAGTGCGAAGAAGTGCGCAGAGCGCAGAGGCATTTTCGGGATTTTCCGACGATCTTTCTCTACGAGTGGAACGAAAGGTTTGGACGAGAAAATGCGACGCGCTTATGATTTGTTAGCAAATCAGGGCTCTGAGGAGACGGACTCGTGTTTGGTATCAAATCGAAGTAACTTCAAAGTAGCACCTGATAGTCGCTTGCTCTTGGTATCGTCGTTTATCAAACCAAAAGGCCATGGGGACGATTACGACCAAAAAAGCATGTCTAAAAATATGGAAATGATAAATACGTTAACGCGTACAGGCGCAAAAACTAATATAAGGCAACGAGCAAAATCCTCCAATAAGGAACAAAGGTACAATTTTCTCGATGCTAATTTTACAGATGAACTCAAGTTTCAATATTCTTCGGATCTTGTTTGTTAGGTACCATCTGGTTATGCTTAAAGTAAATGTTTCATCATGTTTCATGTTTTATTACTAGCATTGCTATAGAAATTTTAATTAATACCTCAAATTCGAGCTGTAATTTATTCTGCTGCACCAAAGAAACTTCCTGAAACTGATCGACAAGGAAGATTTGTAGTTTAGAAATTGTACAAATAAACGCGCGGTGTGTTTTTGAGAATATCACGTTAACTACAATCTTAATCAGTGATTGATTTTGGAGAAGTTTTTACAAAAGGTCACTGTTTTCATAATAATTGTATAAAAAAGGGCAATTTAACAGTGATACTAAAATCAAACAGTAACTTTGAAAGCATATACCTAATCAAAAAGATCAACATTTTTCATTCCTTCGACACCCCTGGCTGTCGCTGCAAAGCAGACAGATACCTATATGAGAAAAAAACGCAATTTTCGCAAGCCATATCTAAAAAAATAATGGTGATGGTATTGAATGTAAGTATGGTGTTACGATAATGACGAATCAATAAAGAATAAATCATTTAAAAATCCCCTTCAGTTGGAAATCATTATCTAGTTGCCAATTCATTCTTGATAATGGTCGTAGTTTAGATTCACTTGTATCTTATCGATATATTTATCTAACGGATAGGTAACCTCCATGAAAATAGAGCTTTCACCATAATCTTCATGGAAATTACACCTTAGCCATAGATAAAATTAACAGAGAAATCCCAAAAATTATCTTGCTCCTGAATAATAACAATTTAATAAGTACTATAGCGAAACGTCATCATAGTGTGTAAAAAAACTTCAATAAGTAAAAATCATCAAGAATTGAAAGCAAACATAGCACTACTTATTTGATTGGAATCCTTTTCCGACTCAGAAAACGTCCTCGACCATTTACCAGCAAAAGCAAAAGATATATTGATGGTACGTTTTGGAATTTGGAGTGGCGAAAAATGCCGGAAATTACAGACCAAAGCGTCGGGGAAAATAAATTGATAACAGAATAATTCAAAGTGAGGCAACTTCTTGTCTTGCGTTGCTTTCCAGCAAGACTGTCGTAAATTTCTTCTTCTTGAAAGTGGCGATGATTGTATTTCCTTATGCAACAGTGCGTTACCTAATATCTTCGTTTATTCATGTGAATATGAATATGAATAAACAAAAGTAATTGGTGTGCCAAAAGTGTTAGCGACTCACCAGAACCGAGGGTTTAGACTACGCTCGACGGTTTGTGCAGACACATGACAACCGTTAATTATTAGAATGACGAATAGGAAAAGCATATCATATCCGCCGTAAGATCACCGAATCTGCTCAATTTTTATAGAGACAATCCAAGGACCTCAAAAGATCATTTCGAGAACAAGCATAAAGTAAAAGGTGGAATTCACCTTAGCTTGGCCTCTATAAGTGTTAATAATCTGAATCGTGTGTACACCATCTACTCTCTGGTTTCTTCCAAGGTCAAACAATGTTGCCAATAGCAATACAAGTACAATACATCCAGACTTTCCTTCTCTAAGCAATACACCCTGTACAGTGGTCAGTGTACTGTATATTTATTTGGTTGTTTAAAAAGTTGTTTTTGTTTTGTAAATAACAAAAGACTGTGCATCTAGTACATATCTAGTAAAAGTTATTATTTTTCTATAGGAACGTTGTTATGTACATCATGTAAACGTGGGTATTTAATACAAATGAAAATAAAATAGTAAAGAATTGTAATTAATCTTAAGATAATGTTTCAGATTGAATAAAAAATGAATAAAGAAAAAGCCCATTTACGAGAACTTGTACAAACTAATCAATGTGAACTGATCTTTCCTCTACATTTAACCAAGGAAAACTCCGGAATAGTTTGGAATGGCGAAATTCACTCAGTTCGTGCCTGCACGGATGTTATGCAGTCATTCCTGTCACACACCCAACGTAAAATTGGAAAGCTACTTGAAACTAAAGGAGTTTCAGACATTGAGGTTCCAGTGAGAATGACGGTAAATGGCACAGATGTAAAAGGCGATACGACCTGTAAACAGTTTGTGGAAAAGCCAAAGAAAAATTTAGTTTTTACAATTTTCAATCAATCTTTCGAAGTTATTATAAATGCGCCGCTTGTACAGCAAATTATAATACCTAGAACTTTATATGTGCATTACTCTTATCAACCGTTAAAATTTAAAAGCATCTACACCGAGAAAGAGCTGTCGGATTTCATCTGGTGCACATCGACGGATTGCGAAGTCTGGACGGAAGTTTGCAAAAACTTTCGGTTCAAACCGAGTAACAAAGATTTAAACAAACATGTCAAGCTAAAGTGCATACCTCGAAATGTTCATTCGACAGGTCCACCGTTCGAAGTAATTTCCCAGACAACAGTGATGGAAATGGCTGTGATTCCTCAATGCCCATTCGATGACCGGCATAAGTTTACAAAGTCGTGGTTGACTGCAAAAAATGAGTAAGCTCAGGTAAAAAATGTTTACAACACTTGATTTGGTGCCATTACAGAATGCGAGTTGTATCTTACAACATTCTGTCGAACCTGTATTCTGAGAAGACAAGTCCGCATCCCCACTGCACTCTTCAGGCACTATCGATAGATTACCGAAAGCAGCTAATCCTAAAGGAATTACTAGGTAAGGTGTGGGTAGATGATGACGGAAAACTACACATTAAGTTGTAGGATATAAAGCAGACATCCTCTGCCTTCAAGAAGTAGATCACCACATATTTGTTCGATATTTAAAGCCGAAGCTATCCAAAATATATAAAGGATTGTTTCATAAGAAAGGTTATAGGATTTCCGAAGGACTAGCTTGCTTTTTTAACACCGAAAAATTTAAGTATGCACTTCATATACCTAATATGTGATAATATTTCTGGGGCCTAATGGTACCTATATTCAAAAAATTGGTTTTAAAGTTTTGTGAATAATTTAATTAATTACTTCTCTTATGGAGGCACATTGGTGCTACTAGAAAGTTATTTTGTTAACTCAACTAATTGTACTTTTTTAACCATTGTATTTGAAATCAATCAATCATTTGCTGTGCGACAACATAAAATATGCATACATATGGTTGACATACAACAAAATTCGTGATTCAATATTTAGGAAATTACTTATAAAATCTAGCATGACGTGTGCTGTCAGGATGCGTGGTGTCTGTTGTGTTACATGAGGAGATTGTATTTCGCAAAATCAAAAATTTCTCCATTTTTTGTATATCAACCATATGCATATTTTATGTTGTCGTACAGTAGGTAAATCGATTGCTCTTTTCAAATATCTTAGAAAAACATAGGCGTTGCATTTGAAAAACAAAAGTTGCATTGATTTCCGGTTAAACCAGAAGTGATATCGTTTCGTGCGACCGGATAGATCGTAATATCACATATAAAACTATTTGACAAATTTTTGGTATCTCGCAAATTAAAAAAGACATTGAGATAACCCTCTAATCTCGAACGCAATGTATTATAGGTTTATTTCAGTGCGGCACACTCAGTAGTCCGACATTTAGCGAGTTGGCTGACCCACTTTATACTTCGGCACTACCCACTCTATAATTCAGCACTTAGTGCAGATTATATAACCTATTTTATTATAAAAAATGGTTTATAGCTCATACAAATCCACTAGTCCGGCAATTTTAGTAATCTGGCGTAGGCGAAAAAATTGGGTACCTGATTACAGAGCGCCTACTGTATGTCTAAGGACAAAAACATGTTGAATTATGCTGGGATGTGCTGAACACCTTTTTACTTTTGGATTGGAACAATATCCGCCTCTCACTCACATATCTTTTGAAACTTGTTATATGAATATCACTAAGTAACTACTCCAGTGGTAGGTATAAGGAGGAATTCAGGTATATCACTTGGCCCCGTTGTTGAACTATTGTTTAATCTTAGATGTAGCATTGAGTAAAGTTTTTAGGTTTCAAAAATAGTAAGATTAAGAGCAAGAACCTCCCAGGATGTTGGCTAAGAACAACAGCGGGCTCGAAAATGGGTACCTGGTTCTGAATTTAATGTACCTCATTGTACCAACCTTACTTTCTACGGCACCCTTGACGTTTTAGAAAAGTCGGGATTGAAAAAATCAGGGATCAACCTTACGAGAGCACCAGACAAACGGAACAATTGCGATTGGCATGCCACCATGTCAGACTTTTCTTCATTAGAAAATATAATTATTAATTAGTAGAAAAAATGCCAGCTCATTCATGATTTTGGACTTTCTGTCTGTCCGTCCGTCTGGGTACACGATAGCTTATGAAGGGTTTCAAATTTACCCAATTTTGTTTACAGTTATACAATAAACTTGTAACAAGTATAGCAAACAGGCTCCTGAGTCACTGAAAATTTAATCAGTTCTTCCTTGGGTGATGATAATTATAATATTGAAAAGAGAATTGGAAAATTCGAAACTGTTCGTGAATTATCATGTACACAGACGGACGGACAGAAAGTCCAAAATGATGATACTCGCTTAGAAGCTTGTTAATAATCTAAACACCAAAGATGTGGAAAAATCAATGTTACTGTCAGTTCAAATACGCCATTGTCACATTCATTTGTTTTCCAAAGCATACTTTTTTCTTGATGATATTGGATTGTAATACTTTTGGACAACAATTAACTAATCAAAAGAACTTACGTACATACCTGAAGTTCGATCGTAATTATATGTGCCGTCTGATCTGAATATATCAATTTGTAACACTCTGTAGCACGTGCTTTTCCTACTACCATATACAAAGTTGAAATATAAAACTCGCTCTCCCTCCGCATCCCCTCGATCACACTAGCAGTTGGTTGTTCATTTTATTTAAAAACGCGCGGGTGGATGGGGGAAGGCAATGATATATTCATTCCGATCAAACTTCAAGTAAGTTCTTTTGATCGGTTAATTATATTGCGGCGGCAGGTCTGAATGTATCATTTTGTAACACTCTGTAGATGTTTAAATAGACGTCATAAAACAGCTATATTGGATGATACCTAACAGTGTAGTATACAAAAAGTAAAAATGAATTCACTACATATCCAACAAAAGTACAACTAGTGTATAAACCAGACTTAAAACCAATCTAAATGCTGCTAATAACTAATTAAGGTTTAAACACAGCATTCAGAAAGTCGTCTGGGGCTGCCAGAGATCTGTTGTAAAAACGAACGAGCCCGCTGACTTCCTAAGTGTCCAATGACATGCCATCCCTTAGGGCTGCAGAGGTGTCTAGTAGAGAGGGCACAAAACAGCCATATCCACTCCTGCTTCCCTAAGTGTTGCACTCAACTACTTAACGACTGTTTCGCTCGTCCATTTGGTTTTTTGTCGGTCAAAAAGAAGTTGTCGCAGCTCGTGGGTCTTGTAGGGTCAGTCAGGGTTAAGTTATACTTAATTAAGCTGGATACACACAGTCTTGGAAATGGAAACTGGTTTCAGTACATTGAGTACCCTCTTGAAAAGGGTAAATTAAGAGTTTGGAAATTTGTCTAGTGCTCTAGTGAAGTTGTGGTAAAATGGAAAACAAGTTTGGTACAGTGAGGTACATTGAATACAGAATCAGGAGCATTTGATCATTTTAAAGCAGTTCATTTTTCGTGACCAACGTTATGGTTGCCAGTAGGGATGGGCGATAACTGTTTTCACCTATCGATAAGTATCGGGTACTTACCTATCGATATACATATTTTACTTATCGAAATATCGATGGTTATCGATATATCGATACTTATCGATAACTATCGAAATATCGATATATCGGTAAGTATCAGTAAATCGACAGTTATCGATATGTCGATAGTTATCGATATATTGATATATGAATACTATCGATACATCGATAGGTATCGATATGTCGATAATTATCGCTAGGGATGGGCGATAACTGTTTTCACCTATCGATAAGTATCGGGTATGATACCTTTTATGTAAGGTAGGACAACCGATTTTTTGGGTTATTTGTTCGGTGTGGTGTGTTTTATTGAAAAATTATTACACCCTTTGAATTTTGATTGTCTTCTTTATTTTATCTAAAGAGTAGCCATTTTGATGCAACATTTTGTTCAAGTTTTTGAAGTTCATCTTTTTTTGAGCAATCGTCAGTAAGACGAAAAGATCTAATTTCTAAAGATTTTATTACTGCGTGGATTTGGCATGGATGATGATGTGACGTAGCGCTTCTCTTGAGAAAGGGAGCAAAGTTAAGTTTCCGAAACGTCGAGCAACTAAAAATAGTAACTTTACACGAGAGTAAACCCGAAAATGGATTTTATTAATAAAAATAGTAGCGCTCGTTGAAATCTCAACAATAACATAATCTTATCGTACCAATAGTTATCGACATATTAATATATCAATAGTTATCGACATATCAATATATCAATAGTTATCGACATATCGATAAGTATCGATAGTTATTGATCTATCGATATATCGATGTTTTTAGCTCTACCTATTGTTATTCGATATATCGATAACTATCGATATATCAAAAAAAATTCCCATGCCTAGTTGCCAGTACCTATGGGGAAGGAAGGATACAGTAAAGTCGCGATAATCCGACGTTCCATTCAATCCAAGGTCCAATGAAAAAAAGACATTATTCTGCGGTTCTCACCCCAAGCCAGCGGGTGACATGTTGAAGGTCAATGTCACTATGACTCTCTCTTACTTCTACAAATAGATCAGTACGTTATTGTCTGCTACCGTGTACTAATCGCAGTTTACTGTTTCGGTATAATCTGAATTTTTCCCAATCCGAGGTACTACCAGCCCTAATTACCTCGGATTATCGAAACTACTGTATAATACTATATTTCCATGATACGCATGTTACAATTTACATTTTCAGATTATTGGACACTAGTCAGTTGGTGTTCTGCGAGGAGTTACGGACAAACACCCTATTCAAACGCACATGGAACCTAGTACGACAATGTAACACATTGAAGGACTGCATAATTAAACAACCGACCTCTCTACAAGTCACCGTACTAAAAGTGAAACACACGGAAGAGATCATTATTGTCGCCAATACTCATCTCTATTACCACTCGGAAGCTAGTCAAATACGTTTACTACAAACCAGCATCGCGTTGGATTACATCAAGGACGTTTACAATCAGTACAAGCGAACGGTAGGTTCATCGAAAGTAGGACCATGTTTCATCTCTTTTTTAGAGTAAATCTCGAGTGTCTGTGCTATTTTGTGGAGATTTTAACAGCGTACCATCGTCGGCAGTTTATGAATTTATATTACACGGGGTCGTACAGCACAGTTTTCAAGTGGATATAGGTGTGTATTCACGACTGCCCTGAGAGTTAATTTTTAAATTGTGGGCTTTCAGAAAATGAAGTGAAAAGTGTCTGCTTAAGTCATCCCTTTCAGTTTGCCAGCGCTTACGGTACGCCGAAGTATACTAATTACACGGAGGAGTTCAAAGGTTGCTTAGACTATATATTTTATGACAGAGGTAGCTTTACAGTTTTGGATTGTGTACCATTGCCAAGCGAAGAAATCTTAGCAGAAAAGGTAGCACTGCCAAATGACGTGTTTCCATCAGATCATTTAGCTTTAATTGCAAATTTAAGATTAACATAATGTTAGATGTTTGTGTCAAATAATTTATCAAAGAAGACAATATTTAACTTTTAAGTTATTTTAAATTAAAAGGACTAATTTTATATCTTGTTTTTTTTATAAATAAAAGTAGCCAAAAAAGGCAACACTGTTCCATAACTGCATTCTGCAGATGGTTCCATGTACATTCCATCCGCACCAAACAAACAAATAAAATGTTAAATGCAGGGATGAAAGACCTGGACTTGAGTTTGATACATGACTATCTTTAAATGTACAAATTGTTGAGCACCTCAGAAATGTTTGATTCATATTGTTCGTTACGTCACTATCAGGAAAAACGTAAGTGATCAAAAATGAGTTGCAATTGAGTCACCTTCGGAATTCGTGTTGAGTTCGTTGCCTATTATAGCCATCTATTCCATGCATTTGATCTGGTACCTATACACGGTGTCCATTTTTCGAGTGCCACTATGGGGATCTCGCATATCTTAAGAGATAGACATTTGGTTAAATGAGGGCAAAGATGCGAATTTTCGTGTTGAATAATAATCTGAAAAGAAACTTAAAATATCTTCAATAGTTTTGAAAATATTGCAAAAAAAAGAAAATGTCTGATTTTCGTTTTTATTTTTTTCATAATAAACTAATCGTTCTAGACATTTCTAATTAACACATTATTCAGACACTTTTTAATGGAGATTTCGATGGCATCCCGTTTTCAATAACTTTAAAGACGACGGAGAAACAAGTGGCAACTTTAATTTTTCTTATGGGCGTCGTTTTGGATTTTGACATTTTGAGATTACGTCTTTTTTCTCTTTACAACGATATATCACACATGGTATGGTTCAGTAACACATTTTTCCTAAAATTACAATTTTCATTTTCTGCGAAGAGTGCTTTGAAAAAACAAAACGTTCTTTTGTTGTGAACAAAAGGTTGACTTATTTCAAGTAGTGTAATTTACGTTTGTGCTAGAATTATTGCGAAAATATTATTTATTCTTAAGTATTTTGTTCTAATTTGAATTATAATTTTCTTGCAAAACGAAGGTTCAATTCTATTCAGATGAAAATCTCAACACAACTAGTTCTCTGCCAACGCTCCAACCAGACAGATGGATCAAACTGTCAAACTTTTGTTCACGATAAAAGAACGTTTTGTTTTTCCAAAGCGCTCTTCCCGAAAAATTAAAGTGTCTGAATAATGTTTTTTTTGCGATATTTTCAAAACTACTAAAGATATTTTTCATTTCTTTTCAGATTATTATTCAGCACGAAAATTCGCAACTTTGCCCCCATTTAACCAACTCTCTATCTCTTCAGGTAAACGAGATCCTCATAGTGGCACTCGAAAAATGGACACCGCGTGTATAGATATAAGCCCATATGTAAACATTTAAGAAAATTGCCTGCATTTTATTTGTTCTGGTGTGTTCTTACGCACAAAACTCTGCATTTTTTTCAATTCATATACAAAAGGTACCTTTATTTTTTTTAATTCTATTGGCTTTTTCTTAATGATCTAATGATAGTAAACTAATGATTGTAGACAACCACCATAAGAAAGAGTAACACAAATCATACACTTTTTTGTGCATTATGTGAATTACACAATATAAGTACCTACAATCCAACCACTTAGATAAAACATTCGGCAAGATATGTCTCAAAGCATTTTTAAATCTACCAAAAGCAAAAGAAGCGTGGTTGTATACAGGACACTGTTTTAGAAGGACTTCGGCATTGCTTCTCGGTGACTTTTAGAGATTACCGACTGACCGACCGTGCAGGATACGTCGAAAATTCAGTTAACAATAAAAGGCAAATTACTGAAAAAATTTGCAACTTGCTGCTCTAACATTATTGGACCTTCTCAATACCTCCACTGCTGCAACACATTTTGCTCCTTTTAGTGAAGAGGATGTAGCTTTTATTATAAAAAAAGTTCATTATACTTACACGTAATGTTGCATTATCAAATTCTATGCGATAACTAAAATGATTTTTAATTTTGATAATTTGTGAATAGAAATGTTTACTTTAATAAATAAAAATAATACAGGTACTTAAAGTTTTCATTATACATATTTTAATCCCAAGAGATAAACTGAAAATTTAATCCCTTGGATGCAAATGAACCACTTCTGTCCTCAAAAATAGAGATAAATAACCATTTTGATATGCATAAAAAGGCAGCTTTTGATTGCTATACTTTTTATGACGATATTTTGATTTTAATGTAATAATCAAAGGTAATAAGATAAGTAGGTACATTGAATAAGTTTACTTATTCAATGGTAGGTATTAGTTTTTGGAGCGCTCCCCATAAGTACCTCAGATTTTAAATGTAACTTCTACATAAGTAGGTATACAGGGTGATTCCTATAGTACCTGCCACCGTTTGGGAGCGTGTAGGTGGTGCGTAGGGGAGTATTTTGATATAGGACACTTGGGGTCGGAAATCTAAAATAAGGGTGCCAGAGCCAAATTTACCTTCTGGAATTTCGCGCCTGTAGGTAGGCAACCCAACCGGCCGGCGGTGCACACGGAGCGATCTCAGGCGGCGATGTGTGGCTGACACTTGATCAGAATTTTGTTTAAACCCACGAAATCCCGTCTGCAACGACGCGTATCAAGTGAATAAACACTATGGCAATAGTATAATAATAGTTGGCTAGATGTAGGAAGTGCATTGAGAACAACGGTGGCCACGTTGAACACTTGTAAACGTTATTGCTTTTGACTGTCGTTTTCCCTCCTTCCCTCCCATGTCGCTTCCTCGCGCTAACTCGCTCTGCATCGCTCCGCGCGAAACGTCGGTCGGTTGGGTTGCCTACATACAGGCGTGAAATTCCAGAAGATAAATTTGGTTCTGGCGCCCTTATTTTAGATTTCCGACCCCAAGTGTCATATATCAAAATACTCCCCTAGGCACCCCCTATACGCTCCCAAACGGTGGCAGGTACTATAGGAATCACCCTGTATACAAGGGTAGGTATTTATACTTATTATCTTTGATTATTATATTCAAAGCTTATGATAATGCCTGGCGACTTTAGGCTTAGTGTAGGTAAAGTATAACACTTATTTGGAAGCATGGTCAACCATTTGAAAACCAGAAGCACACCAGAACTCTATGCCAGAAGTAATAATTACTACAGCAACTTCTTATGTCTGACTTACACAGATATGGGAAGCGGCCACTTATTATCGCCTACAGTTGGCCCACTAACGGACAATATTGAAGTTGAGATTACTTTATGCCATGGTGTATCATTCGTGAAGTTCGCTATCCTACGGGATGGATATACGCAATGTTCTTGATAATCTAAAACCTTAATACTGAAGGGAATGGCGATAATCCCAATTTTAACTCGTGAATGTAAATGGATTCATATATCTTTGTACCCTACTGAATGCTACAATGTTTGCACATGTTGAAATATCATATAGGTATATCTGTCTTTGGTAAGTATAGGTACCTATTCTAAAATGCTCACCCCCTACTTTCGATATAAAAAAAATCACTGTATCAGTGTTGGTACTTAATTTGTTAACTGTGACACGATTTCCAGTCCAGATAAAAATAATAGTGTATATTATCTTTGTACCAGACTCCAGCAGGTTCTTACTCACATGCATAGACTGAGGCTATATATACTATATATAATGTCGAAATATTGAAATTTTAGTTTACATTTTGTTTATATTCGCCTAAAAGATTGTATCAACTTGAAACTGGGAGAAATTTGAGCCGAGTTACTTTTTCAGTAGTTATGTACAGGGTACACACGAAACTATCTTGAGTTTTGCACATCAGTGTACATAAGTAACGTTTAATGTCACCCACGGTTCTAACCCCACATTTTTTCAAAAATTGTAATGTTTTTGAGTTTATTTAAATTGAGCAACACTTACTGGAACATCAACATTCGAAATTTACATAAGTACATGTTTAAAATGGACAAAGCATATCTCAGACATGTAACCGAGACTGAACAATTCCAAATCAGCTTCCGATATTCGGACTCAAATAAAGTTGATCGACAATTCAACTTCTGTAGGCAACTTAAAGAACCTGTTGGTACTTTTCTAAGTCGAGTCACTGCAAATGTTTCCAAAGTCATTAACAAGAAAAATAAAAAGAAAAAAACTGATAATGCGCAAGAGGAAGAAAATACCATTTCTGCCTCTCTGCTGCACAACGGAACTGTGGTCGGTGATGAGCGGACTTGTCACGACTTATTCAACTCGCATGCCTCGGACGAAATTGTTCTGCAACTGCTCGACAAGGAGTATTTGATAGTTATAAACTCGCCGTGGATTAACAGTTTAAGTCTACCGAAGTCAATAATGGCAAACTTCCCAGTTTATCCTGCAAAATTTGAAGGGGATTTCATTGATAAGAACTTATCGGAGTTTAATTGGTACAAGTCCGAGGACAAAATCAATTGGGAATTAGTTGGCTGCGGTTTTATGTATCTTCCTAGGAATGAAGATATTAAGCACTATTTAAAAATGACATGCTTGCCTAAAAATGAAAACGCCACCGGTCCCTTTGTAGAGACAGTTTCGGAAACGTGTGTTGAGGCTAGTCCCGGCTATTGCCCATTTGAAACCAGACACCAGTTTACAAAGGATAGACTTATTGGTAAAGAGTATGTTTTTCAATTCAAAGCTTGTGGGGTTATTGTGAACTTTAATTGTAGATTTCGAGTTGTTACTTATAATATCTTGGCTGATCTGTATACGGATTCAGATTTTTCAAGGAATACTCTGTTTCCGTACTGTCCACCGTATGCCTTGAGCATGGATTATCGCAAACAGTTAATCATCAAGGAGCTTCTAGGTATGTACAGTCTGTAATACAATCAATGGCCAGCAGATGGCCAAACACCAACATACAGTGCCTGTCCAAATGCGATTTCTAGATGTGGAGACACATACTAATATGCTATAAGGCTCAGTGGTCACAAAGGTCATTTTGGGACCACCATAATCATAACATTCATAACAGCTAGTGATAGTCATTGATTACTGCGAGTACTGTGATCACTTGAACACTACCATCACAAATGGTAACAGGTGTTTTATCACATTGATCCCCAATGACGTCAATGAACATGATCATTACCAGTCACTTATTGTCGATCATCACACGTTTTCCTGAACTGTGGGTTGCTGCACGACCTCCCTATGCTGCATCACGATCATCTACCTCTCCATGCGGCCTAGGTTTACTTTTGATTTGAATATTGTTGCGTTGACTTCACAGAAAATAAATCCCTTATGGTCCCTAAACTGTTACTGGCACTTTACCAAGTGACAATATCACCTTTTTCGTCAGTTGGTAGAGCAGCCTTGGCTGAAACCCCGCCCACTCAAAAATAAAGGCAAAATAAAATTAAAAAAAAAATAGGTGAGAGTTTTATGACTCCCACTGAGAATCAACTCTCGAGTCCGTGGAAACTTACTTCACAGCAGATCACCCATCACGTACTGCCCTGCGTGACTGATTGCATCACCAAAAAGTGATGGGCGATGGGGTCGTCACGTCCCAACGCCTTTGTTGTTATTAAGTATTAGCTGCAGCTTTTAGACTGAAGAATAGTAGGCTATCGAGGATTCGTGTCAATTGTTTAAACATGCGAACAACAAACTTGGACAAAATATCTCGAAACCAACCAAAAAGAAGAAATGATGAAGTAGAGAGAAGCAACGAAATCAAAAAAAAGTTGAGAAATGGAAAAATCTACCTACACTGACCAAATTTCCGAAGGAATGTGGAAAGGGATGTTTTGCTTTATTTAAATGCATCTAATCCTCCCACATCTAGAAATCGAACTTTGTGAAGTCATTTGTTAAGCTTCCCTATGCTACTTTTTCTTTCTATTCGAATGCCATGAAATTTACAGTACTCTAACTTATACCGCTCACGCTAATTCTTATAGGATACAATGCAGACATAATATGCCTACAGGAGCTTGATAAAAAGATATTTGTGAATCACATCGAACCTGTATTTACCGCTATGGACTATTCATGTACATTTCAACTAAAAGGCGGTGAAGTCGCTGAAGGCTTAGGATGTATTTATAACAATAAGCGTTTTAGGTAAGTATCATTTTAATTTTTCCCATTAAATACAACAAAAACATCTTGCAGATTTTTAGAATCAAAAACAATGCTCTACGGCGAACTCATAGATAAGGACCCTCTCTTTGGAGACATTTGGCAAAAAATATCAGCTAACCCCAAACTAATAGAGCGTTACACACAAAGATCTACGGTGCTTGAACTGACCCTTTTAGAGTCGCTTGAAAATGAGGAACTGCTATTAGTTGCAAATACACACTTGTACTTTCATCCAGATGCAGATCACATTCGGCTTTTGCAAGGTGCAGTTGCGATCAGGTTTATAGAAGATTACATGCTTAAATTGCAATCGCAGGTATATTTGGTGTGTTCTATACAGCAATCACTCACACTTCTAATTTTAGGCCAAAGTGAGGATCTCACTGATATTTTGTGGTGATTTTAATAGTGTGCCAGAGTGTGGCATTTATCAATTGTATACAAAAGGTTCAGTCAGTGAAGATTTTGTAGATTGGGGCAGCAGTAAGTGATTGATGTTTTCTATTTTGTGCAATTTAGTGTTTTAGATGCTGAAGAGACTGTGAGAGGTTTAAATCTCACGCAACGTTTTAACCTGGAGAGTGCATGTGGAACGCCACCATACACCAACTATACAGCGGGATTTTTTGGTTGTTTGGATTATATTTATTATGAGAAAGATAATCTTAGTGTAACACAAGTAATTCCATTACCAAGCCATGAGGAGGTGATGGAACATATTGCGTTACCTAGTATTGTGCATCCATCTGATCATATAGCATTAGTTGCCGATTTAAAATGGTTGTAATTAATTTAGATTATATAAACTTCATTAATGACTACAATTCGTGATTTTTATTATATATTTCTTATACTGCTAGGCAGGAAAATTGGTGAATTCAGCATTAAGAGCAGAGCTGTGCAGATTTCAAGCTCTTTCTAGACATAAGGCTTTCGATTTTGTATTTGAAGCACTTTCATAGGGCTTGAGGCTTTAGATTTAGCAAAGGAATTGAATTTAATTTTTAGTTTGCAGTTTAATGTTAAGCCTTCAATTCCTTTTCAATGAAGTTTTTAATTTGATTTGAAAATGCTTCAATTGCAAGGAAGGTTTGATCGCTGAATCCGTTGCTTCTTCAGCGACTTTTGAATATATTTCTGCACAGTAGATAGTAAAATTTAGTGCAGGGGTTAGGAGCTAAAATAGGTTTCAACCTTGCATTTTGTGATAACGTTATGAAACTTTCAGAGGATGTTCTAGACATCCTAAGGCTCAATTTCAGCTATGCCGCCACCCCTGCATCCCCGGACGGCACTTGCTATAACGGGTTTCTTAAGCGCAAGGTAGCATTTCAATACCCGCCCATAAAATGGGTCAAAAATGTATGTCCAGGGTTTGTTTTGTATTTTCTTACATCTAGGAAGGTTGAAGGGAATTGTCAAATACCCAGGGAGAATTTATTTAGGGTATTTTACGTGGTTTGCCTATTTTTAAGGCGCTTTTAACAGTGCGGACTAGGGAATGCAATCCCGCAGCAAAATCTCAATCCCGGTATTTGCGGGATTGTTAGTTGTTAATCCCGCGGGATCCAACTATTTGCGGGATCTCGCAAAACTTTAAATAAATTGGCAAATAAGCAATTCTGTGCGGTTAACTTCTGTATTAAAATAAATCGCTAATTATCACAATATTTAACAAAAAAGTACCTTCGGCCTAACTGAGAACCCAAAAAAACCTTACCTGTAAAGCACAAAAAGTCTTTTATAGTGCCTCAAAAATCATAGTACATTTTTAACGAAAAAAGTTTAACAATTATTTAAAAAATAATTCGCCGTTATCAGTTTCATTAACAAAGTAAACAGACCCTTGGTCGACAAATTCCTCAGTCCCGCAAATCCCTCGATTTATGTGCGGGATTAATCTCGCAAAAATGCTGCGGGATCCCGGTATTTCGGGATCCCGCAATCCCGGTATTTCGGGATCCGCAATCCCGGATTGAGAATTAGCATTTACGCCCTAGTTTCTAGTCTATAACTTTTGATTGAGAAGTCTGATCGAAAAAGTACGAATTGTTTTGGATTCTACGCACCAAAATTAATAAGAAAAAGTGTTTTCCCGAGAAATTTTGGTGCAGTCGATTTTTGGTAAAAAAGGAAGGTTATACACTGCCTTTTTTTGATGCTCTATTCTACATTATTTACTTGTTGACGTAATGCATATTATAGGCAAGTATAAACTACCTTCGGTAGTAAAAAAAAGGGTTCAATCCTGTACTTCGGCTCGGTGCTTTCAATTTAAGACTAAAATAATCCACAATCAAACCAAAGAGTAACTATGGGTACTCTTTGATCAAACTTCAAATGATTTTAATTTTAAAGAATTTTTAAAAACTGTCGAAGTTTCCGCATGCAACCGAATAAAGAACTAAAAACGAATATTTAGGAAAACATGATATGTATATCTAATACCAGCGCATCATACCTACTTGAAATTGGTTGGCAGCCAAACGAACACTAGTAGGTAATAGAGGAATGTTTTTATGCAAACGGAGTTATCATTTCAAAGTTCACGGTTCCTAATAATTAAACAAAAAAATGTGGGTAGCGACTAAGTATTGAACTATTAAAAAACTGTCAGGCAAGTCGTATCATCACAACTCACAAGAAAAACATTTTGGACATTGAATAAACGTTTCCGAATGTAAAATTGTTTTCCAAAAAAAGTCAACCAATAGTTATAGGACTTTCCGGAGTGTTAAAAATTGTCATTGTTTGATTCTACATTGGGAATATAACAGACGGGGGATGTTTAGAATTTAAAATACATCTTCATTCCATTTTTAAACTGTTTAGTATTTAGGAAACTAGGTCCAATATTTAGTCTATGAACAAGAACATCACTATGAAAATTACGATTATCTTATTCTTCCTTTCCATTGTATAAACAGATTCTCCGTTAGCCATCTTTAAACTGAGCAGTTTGGTCATTACACTTGTTAATCGATTCACCTTCAAGATCCACCATTTTCATCAACAGATGAATTTCTCGTCGTAAGGCGAGTTTTCCTTTTCTTACATCTGTGGTACATATTTACCTAACCTATTAATGCCTAAGATGTTAGTAGGTATAACCATGGTATATAAGGTATGCATATACAATGGTATAACGCTTGTATAACGGTTCAACTCAAAATTCTAAAATGTATGATATTTGTGAACGATACTGTTCTGTAATGGTTCACTTCATACCAGCAGTGAAAAAAACCAAAACATGGTTAAAACGACCGACGACGGGTAAATGCTAGACATGGTAACAAAAAATGATAATTGAAACGGTTCAAAAGCATCTGAGTGAATATAATGTTGACGTACAATAGACAATAGAGGGTTGGTAAATTCACAGAAAAAGTGCAGTCGCTCCCTATATAACTTACCTGTAATAATTTAATTCTTCCCAGCAGACTCGTCGAATGACAAAGTTTGGAATATAATATCTTCTTCGCACATGATTCTAGGCTCCACACCAGATACAATACTACATTCGATTCCATTGGCGACAAAGGTACCTAGATGATGGGATGAAATAAAACAATCCCCAATTCCAAAAAAATTCCAAATTCCTCGGAAGATTGATAGGTTTCTGATAGTTTATTCCTGAAGTATCTGCGCGGCGGGATAATAATTTTCTGCGTTTGTTCTGTTCTGCAACAGAAATTGAGTTAGGACACAAGTGTAAAAGGAAACTTTATAAAATGTGTACTAAAGATATTTTATACACGATCACACTCAGATCTCACCATTAACGGTAGCGACCACAGGTTTGATTTTGTTTAGTCGGTCTGTCAGATAAAATACCCAACGATAGAACTGAAAACAGTTAAACTTAATTCGTGAAACTTACTTCTTAATTTCGAGTTGTTCAGCTTGTAAACCAGCAGACTGGAACAACAAACGGAACTCTCATTAGCCATTTACTCCTAGTCCGGGACACCGAACATCAAATACAACATCATGTTCGGTTAACACGCGATAGGCGTTGGTTGGAAAACATTTTAGATGCTCCCGACAAATCCTTTAAAAAATTACATAGTTATCATGATTGGTAACCTGGTAATTGCCGGAAATAATATGCTACTCCTATGATACAGACGAATTGATTACTTTACAAATCAAGTTGTACCTACACATACAAAGATTTAATGAAAGGTATCTGAAGGGGAAAACAAAGAATTATAATTAAAACGGTTGATGTAACTGAAACCTTTCTGAATCGGCGGCTCATACACGGTTTGACTCAAAACTACTTTGGTGGTCGTGTTCCGAAACATCCGACCCTTGGTTGCAGGGGAGTACTAGAATCGTTGCACATGCAACATCTCAGTAAAGTTAGCCTCACCCAATAAAAAAATGCAGAAACCGTATACCAAGGGATATTATCGATTGTTTTTTTGTTAGTCATTGATTGATTGTTTTAGGGCTACTTCACACCAGCCCGAAACTTTGTTACTCGGGTATTATACATTAACAAAATCGCCAAGAGTGGCTTCATACTACCAAACATCCATCCCATTTTTTTTACTGATTAACATTATTTCAATTGATTGTTTTGTCACAGTAAACGTTTGTTTCGTAAAATCTTACCACATTATAACACACACGTATATAGTTTGTAATTGCTGTTCTGGTAAAAAATGGTTTGTTATTGATTGTTTTGAAACAGAAAGTTTACTTCGGAATAAGAATAGATCGCTATCCACTAAACGGACAATTTGCCTATTGGGGAATGTGCGCTAAGAACAACCACACCAACGGTACCTATAACAGAAATCCCATCATCAAAACTATTAGCGAGTACCTACTATTTTGCCTATGTACATAACAACCAATACAGATGGATGAGATGATAAAATCTGTATCTCCTAATCGTATTTATCGGTATCGGTTTATATGACTTCTGAAATAAAGTTTTATGGTGTTGGTCGGAAAGGAGTCGACATACTTGCAAATTAACCATTTTTTTTATATAGGGGTTCTTTGAATAAGTTGCCGCCTGAAAACTATTTGCAAATAACGTCTATTAATATTGTCAACACAGTAAAACATGTTTTCCAAATGTTAGTAACGATAAGAATAAGTTTTCGCAAATTTTAATAGTACCTAATCTATAAGCTAAGTACCGTGTGGATTCCCTGTACCATGTCTTTCAGAGTAGTACTTACATATTGTTGCGCTTTACACCCTTTTAGCTGCAGAGCAGTAAAACAATCAGTTTGGATCAGCCTAGTATTAAGTTGGCCTACCCACAATTTTTGTCCCCCGAAATCGTCATGAATTATGAAACCATCATTTTCATGCCTACTTTATGTCAGGAAATGTCCGTTTCCATGACAGTGGGCGTACCACTTTAGCCGACTACTTTTCCCGCCTCCTATCAAAACTGGCATATTAATAGGTATATTAGGTAATAAGTTCATATGGAAATTTAAATGTTATATTAAAAAAGACAATTTCGGAAAAAAATTAATGCAAAACTCGTCAGTAATATATGACACTACTTGCTTCGGAAATTAAACTACTCGCTCCCGAGGGGGCCTTACTTCAATATTTTCTCGCCAGTAATGTGTCATTTTCCTGATTTGTATAAGACGTATAGGTAAATAACTATTTTCCACCGTACCTCTTCTATACTATTACTGTAAATTGAATTTCACGAAACAAACTGTGATTACAACAAAACAAGCAATAAGTAGACATCTAAAACGAAAGAATTTTACTCAAACTTGAAGAATCGAGTGTTGGTCGAGCAATGCGAAGTTATCCTCGCCCATTTTACAAATTTTGTAATACCTATTGCACTTTAGGGTCATCCTCCCCTCGACAATCGACAGTGCGATCCTCCCAACGTTGAGTGGTCATGTGAATGATGGTTCAATAAATCTTTGAAATAACCTATACCTAAAATTATAAAATATCCTACACTTGCTCAACTTGTTCTATCTTCCCCTGTTCTCTGGCGAATTCTAGTCAGTTGTCTAGTGTATATAAAATTTGGGACTAGGTTTTAGCGCATCGGTTGTAGGTACACACCTCCTTTTTTCTGGTAAGTAATCTTATTCCCTCTTATTATAGCCGCAGTCCATAATTTATATACGTGTCAATCAGTTTACCGATAATATACTTTTCATATATCATAATAATTATGATATTAATTATTAATATCATTCTTTTTTCTATGACCTGTACTGAGTTGTTATTTGGACAATTCTATTTCTTATTCTTTTTAAGAGGGGTTGGTATACACCACAGGTAATGATATTTTGCAAATAACGGACAAGCGCTTAGGAAGAATTATCTGGAAATTCTTTACTGTCATGCGTAAGTCCTTATACAGGGTGACAATTTGAAAACTTACCACCCCCCATATCTTAGTAAATAAACGAGATATTTAAAAAAATCAAAATCCGTTTCGGTAATTCGGAGGGGAATCACAATGACATAGTTGGCGACGCACCCCCTCCAACCCCCTGCGCCCCAGCCACCCCAACTTTTAAATCTTAAATAGTGACCCCCCATGTGTGATATGTCGTTGGAAAGCTCTGAAAAAATGCTTTCCAACCATACCAAATAGCATTACATTTAGGTTAGTAATTATCGTGCAAATCAAAAAATAAACTAATATGATACATTTGAAATCTGTCGTATTTAAAACGCAACCGGCGAACATTAGACGAACTAAGACAGAGAATAATTCAAGAATGTCGAAATATTGCAAAACCAACATAGGAAAGGTTCGACAAGAGTTTGAGAATAGATTATAACTGGCGATCAAAAATGAGTTGCTGTCGAGTCGGCTTTGGAAGTTCAAGTTAAATACGATTTTCCATGTTTATTTTTTGATATCATGTGCCAAGCATAATTTGTATTTCATTTTATCACGATCTGAAAATGTATTATTTATTTATGGTTTTCGTTACAGAGTTTGGGAGAGTAGCCCCTGGTTTCGTAGTCTTTTCTGCTCTATTTCTCTTGTTAAGTTCAACTTTTTCCCGTTGATTGCGGAACAAGCGTATTCATTTAACTCTACTGTGCGTTTTCTCAGATTTTCCACATCTTCAGTTGCTTCTTTCCATTTCGTTCAAAAATTTGTAGTATTCTTTTCTTGGATGCCGTAACATTTTATGAACTTTTTCATGCAAACTCCGTCTGTTGCCCGGTTCCCCTGACCCAGATGGATTACTCTAAATTAAACTAAACTAAAATTAATCAGTGTGTACATAATTATAATATTTAATAAAATAATAACAACTACTACTATTACTTCCCACACTAAATTAACAATAATAATACTATTTGTGATAATCTGATAATGCAGAATAATACAAAATTTACAAACATGCATAATGAATATAACATGCATCAAATTAAATTTAACAATTGTGAATTCTGATTATTTATGGTGATGCATTAATATCACCGTGAAATTAGTAAATAACTAAATATTAAAATTGCACCACTGAAAGAATGCAGAACCTCTATGCTATACGGTAGTGCGGAATGACGTAAACTAATTTTAAGCTCTGTTAGTGTTATAGATGAGAAAACACAAGTTTCCCAAATGGACTACTTAAAGCTCGAATTTTGCGAGATTAATGGAAGACATAATTTGAAAACTGTAACAAGGCAAAAAAAGTCCCGTTTATAGTTGAATAAAAATTATCCATAATTAGCCTATAATTAACCAACCTGATTTACCTAAGCCAAACAGATTTCTCACGCAGATTATTAATACACACCACACAATCATAACAAAATATCATTCTATTAATTTAATTCAACAGCAAATTACGGTTTACTGTCGGGCAGACCGAAAAAGTTGTTCAATAAATTTATACACAAAACCGAAACGTTGTGTGCACCTGCCTGAAACGATAAGAATTTATGTGCCTGTAGATAAGAGGAACCGAAACATAACGACCTGCAGATAATTAGAAACATAGAAATGATTCATTGATCATTTTTAGGTAAAGTTTGTTATGCACCCTCGTCTCGAACGTAACCGAGCGGTAACAGTCGGCTAAAAAAACTTGTCCAGCACGAGTTTCGGAAGCATTCGCGTTTTCAAACAACTTCAGTTCATATTCATGTTCCGTAGGTTTATGTTCTGCTGTTCGTTGCACTCATGCTGTTTGTTTTAGTCGCGAATGTTGACTCTATTTTAATTTCATAAATGAGTGCGATAGTGATTTTTGTTAAACTCCCCTAAAATGCGTTTAAAAACAATTTTGTTTGCCCTCCTGTGCTTGGAAAGTAGTGGATTCGAACATGGAATGACCAGGATATCGGATAGGGATGATCTTATACCTAAACACGATAAATGTCAACAAATTACAGTGCCTATATGTATGGATATACAATACAATACAACAATAATGCCCAATTTGCTTAACCATCAGAAGCAGGACGATGCCGGCATGGAAGTGCATCAGTATTTTCCGCTTGTTAAAGTGAAGTGCAGCCCCGACCTGCAATTATTTTTGTGCTCGGTTTATGTGCCGGTATGTACGATTTTGGATAGACCGATTCCCCCCTGTAGGGCTCTGTGCTTGTCTGCTAAGTCGGGGTGCGAGTCCATCATGAAGAGGTTCGGCTTTGATTGGCCCGAGAATCTGGACTGTGCACAGTATCCGGAAGGTCAGGACGTTGACGGGGTGATTTGTGTGGGTGAAAACAAAACGAGCGCGTCGACGACGCCGTCAACTTTCGGCGGTTACCATCTGGGTACGATGAGCCTACAACCGGAAACTCCCTTTCGGGATGTACATCCCGGGAGGGATATAGGATTTAAGTGTCCTGTACAGTTTAAGGTTCCTTCATATTTGGAGTACACTCTGAAAGTCGGCGATACCGTCGAAAGGAATTGTGGCGCGCCGTGCACGATGATGTTCTTTAGTGATGGTCAACGGAAATTCTCTCGAATTTGGGTCGGTACGTGGGCCGTTTTGTGTTCCGCGAGTTGCCTTTTTACGGTGCTGACGTTTATGATTGACACTAATCGTTTTAAATATCCCGAAAGGCCGATCATTTTTCTTTCTTTGTGTTACTTAATGGTGGCTTTGGCGTACGTTGTTGGTTTTGTAGCCGGCGACGGAATCGCGTGTCGAAAACCGTTCCCGGGTTATCAAACCGTTAGTACCATTACGCAGGGTACCAAATACGAGATATGTACCATTCTCTTTATGGTGCTATACTTCTTTAGCATGGCATCCAGTATTTGGTGGGTAGTGTTGACTCTCACGTGGTTTTTAGCCGCCGGATTAAAATGGGGCCACGAAGCGATCGAAGCCAATTCTCAGTATTTTCATTTGGCGGCTTGGGCTGTACCTGCATTTAAAACTATCACGATTTTAGCGATGGGAGCAGTTGATGGTAAGTTTTATCTTTTATGGTGCCGCCTACCTGATTATAAGATGAAATGCATAAATTGTCTTGTCAAAAATATACCACGTTCTCTATGAACAATTTGGTATTGCCCATATTAATGGTAACGGTCCGGTTGAACTTTAATCAGTTAAGGTCAGCGATTTTTTAAAACATGCGAACTAATGCTTGCCGATTTTGCATAAAACCAAAGTAACGGATTCTAAAACTGCGAATGACATTAAAAAAAGAAGTAAATTGGCCGGTTTTTTAATATATATAATTGGTGCCCGCTTCTCATTATTGAATTAGTGAAAGGAAATCAATAGCGGGAACAAAAGGAGCATATAATGATCATTTTTGAAAACTGATTAGGTATGCCTACTGAGGTCCGAGTACAAAGCAACCGAGCTATTGTCTGAAACTTTTAGGTTTTCTTCGGAAATTATTAGGTGATAATGAAATGGCGAGGGGTACGCTTTCAATTCAGTTCTTTTCTGCAATGAAATTATTTTGTAACGTGTAGGTACACCTTGCTCTCTCCCGAGCTCTCTCCTGTGCATAAAAGTTAGACTCCGCGCGCGGCGATGAAGAAAGCCCACGTTTTTTAAAGAGATTCCTGTAAGAAAATGCGGTTTGTGTTTCATGTTATTTTTGTGCAATATTACAGACCCTCGTGCAGACCTAATCAATTGGGACAACTTCGTCGCTTCAAACGAAATAATTAAGGTAGCACACTACGCCTAATATTGTGCATTGAGAGATTCCATAACCTATCTATAATGTAAACTTAGAGGATTTGTTACGAATGTCAACCGTTTGCCTATTGCTATAGGAGATGGTTAAATTGTATTCGAGATTTTATTGAAATCACAACTGGTTGTTTGGGCACATTTTCATGGTGGACTTACATATTACATATTGGTGGGTTACGATCTCGGTTACGATTGAATCGGTCTGGAATTTTTTGACTGCCCCAGTTTATTTTAATGTGTCTTTATTCATCGTGTGGATGTAGCCTATCTTCAGTCATAGGAGGAATGACTTGGATATTTGTATTGCAACTGTTTCAGGCATGGGTTTACTTTATTGATATTGTTCGAGATTGCTCTACGGATAGCAACAAAGCAGGTAGTTGTTGGATCAGGCGACAAAGTGTGTGAAACTGCTTCTTGTACGAATATATAAAATCTTCCATGCCATCCTTAACAGGTTTGAGGTTTCTGTCCACTGCGTATTTTGTGTGTATTTAAGCACGGTTTTAGGGTTACCGTTATGCCACTTCTAACACATTCTGCATTCGTTTTTCACGAGGCGTGTCCTTTTTCCGAGTCTAATGCGAGGTCTAATGTATTCATCTAGTCAAATTATTTTTATTTTTTAATTTTAGTATTTCTCACGCTTACGTAGTGTCCAAAACTCAAAAGAATATGAGAAACCAAAAGACTATACCACACAAGTGTTCGAAAGAATACCAGATGTATCAATAACCCTCTAGATATCTACAGTCAAAATGTCAGTCACTTTACCTACTTATAATTACTAGCATTCAGAAAAAGGATGTATCGATCAATAAATAGGGTGTAAATGCTTAGAATGAAATACCCGAGGAAAGACCATTTGGATTTGCTTGCCTCGAGGTTGGCCGAGAGCGAGGCCGAGAAGTTGGCCCATTAAGAACTGCACTAACCGTCAAGAAAGAAATGATGCGCTTATTTAATTTTAATTTTGTATTAACGGTGAGTAAAGGATTCCCTCACCCAACGGTAATAATTACAGATCAATGTAAGAAAAGTAAAATATTTTTAATTGTCGAATAAACCTCTTTTATAGCTAATTATCTAAATGCAGTCGAGCTCGCAGTCGAGAGTTCCAGTGCCGACACAAACGCGATGCATACTCATAGGAATATTTTGAGTTACGGAAGCAAACTACCAAAGTAAAATAAAACGAGGATTCAAATTATTGGCAATTTTTATTCGTTGACCCAATAGATTTTATTTTTAGCGCTCAAAAAGTACAGCATTAAGTCCGTGGCCGCCCGAGAGCATGAGATTCTCTGCACTCAGGCTCGGTGGAAAGCTGCTGTTTACCTAGCCCTTATTACGTAGGAAAATGAAGTCATAAAAAGGAAACAATTGATAATCTCGGGGTGGATTGTCACTCCGGGGGATAATTTTCCGTAGATGTTCAGTGTACTCAGTAGTAGATATCCGCAGGATAACTGAAGATTTCCGTAGATATCCAACCATGTACCTGAATATCCAAGGATGTCCGTAGATATTCAAAGATGTTCATGGATATCCGAGAAGATCCAGTGGATATATGCAGATATTCCAAGATGTCTAAGGATTTCTGCTCGGATTTCTGTAATCTTACTCAATATTTGGATATAACCGCTGTGTAAAAATTAATGAAATTACGTTTGTCACGTGGTGCGGTTCGGTTTTCTTCGCCAACGAAACGAAAACTGTATATACGAATTCCACCACATCAGTTACACTGAAATATTGAGGAGAAATTGTTCGAAATCTGTACTTCAAATAATTGAAGAATACTTTTAACTAATTTTTTATTGAAATAAAGCGATGGAGATCAAAATGAAAGTTAGTAGCTCTAAATTTGGATTTATTTTTTTTCGAATTTTATAGAGATTCAAGAGGTAGGGCAGTTTATGCATTACGGAGGGTAATACACATCATAGGAAAATTACAATGTCAAAATTCAAAGGGCGGATTTTCCAAGTTCCAAGTTATTTGACTGGTGGAATTGTCAGAATAAATCTGTAAGCGTTTGGTGGAATTGAAGATTATCCTTTGTGCGTCTTTTAATTTCTGTGAAGCATTGTTTTCAAAATGGGTTCCGAATGTCGCAATAACAGGAGCCAAAATGGGCCATTACCTGGCGCTACTCCAAACGACTGAATATGCGTGAGGAATGTTGTAGACTCGATTTTAGAAGTACGTAGGAATTGATTTAGTACCTTAGATTTTATTTAATTTGTAGTGCAACATGAAGAAAATGAATGAAAGGTTAAAGATGCCCGATCAGTTAGAAAATAAGGAGAAGGGGAGGGGGCATACCGGGAGATTTTTGCATTCATTCGATGCTGACCTGCGGAGGGATTAATCCTAGAAATTGGAATAAAAAATTTTAATTTCGAGATTACGGGCGTGACTGCGATATGGCTCGTTAATCAGAAACTGGGGTAAAAGTGAAAAACATGGCCACGAACAAACAAGTTTGACTAAAATTTAGGGGTAACACGAGAGGTCACATAAATTAATGCTGATAAGAATAAGGAGAAGTGTAACCGACGTGGATTGTGGATCGAGATTTGTTTTATTTATCAATATATTTGTGTTAATATTAATAATAAACCAGGAAATCAGTAATCAAACTAAAAAATGTAAGAATAACGACAGTGCAATCTATTTGATTTACCATCCCAGGTGGATTGTCTACGAGACTAGCGATAAGATATTTTAGTGTCGTTTTACTCAGAACAAATTCTTCGAAATTTGCACGTCAAATTGTTAATTACAATTCAAGACTCTTGTACATATTTTAATTACCTTTCATTTATTTACGTGAGAGTGATTTGTCAAAAATGATTGCGACAATTTTACAGTACTTAAGTTGTAAGTGCCAAAAAAATTTGAAATGAAAACTGTTCAATCCAAAATTTTACAGTCTAGAATCACACAGACAAGAATCATAAGAAACATCATTATCGTTATACAAGGGTTATGCCAACTAGAAGTTCCCCTACTTACTTCAGTAAAATTTAAGCACGCAGTTTGTATTAAAGGGAACTAAATTCCATTTCACTTTCAACTCTTTCATCTCATCTCCTTATGGAGAATGGCCACTGGCACTGTTAAAAATAGTATGGTGCGTCGTGTGATACTTGCATTGCATAAATTAAAAGCTAATTGCACTTAATCAGAAGTAACATTACTTTTGATTTCAATCACAAAATATGCTTCAAAACGTGCTATTTTTATTAATTTTCCTCCTCGTTTTCCTCTATTTCATTTAAACTCAATGAAACAAATGGTTCTGATTAGCATAGGTAACAGTAACAGAAGTTCCTATATATCTACTAGGAAAATTCCCGAGAATATTTCATTTCCAAGCCATGGAAACGAAAATAGTCCTACTAAAATTTTGGCCTCAGTTTGACAAGTGGATATTCGCCTTCGACCACCGCCCTCGCTGCAATGATCATTTTCATAAAATTGCAAATATGTGTGACATTACACTTCTTCAGTATCTTATCTTACAAGTTCGATAGAATATTATTAATGTTAAGTAGGTAATATTTTGTTTAAGTTTAATTTCATTTAATTTGGTATTTAGCGAGGTATATAGTAGGTTAACGGCTAAGGCGAGGGCTAAGGTAAGTATTAGTATATTTAGTTCTCGATTTAGTTAATGTGCTTTCTTAAATTATTAATATTGGAATCTAATTCTGTTGGGCAATAAATCGTATTATTATTATTATCAGCTACCGAGTCAGCTATACCATTGTTTAAATACTTTATAGTTAAACAACCATATGGAAATATTACTTGAACGAAATAAGTAGTTCTGGTCTAGAAAATCCAGTTGGCGCTACTATCGTGCTCTAAATAAGTAGTGACAGTTTACGACGAAAGGTTGCGCTTTATCATTACAGACTTTTTAGTAAGGCCTGCAAAAATCGTCAACAGATGGCTCTCCTTCAATGTAACCCGATCGGCTACCCAGCGTAACTGAGGCGACCTTGAGTAAGAATGCAAGTTGTAACTCTATACGGCTACGATTATACTATATAAACAAAACGCTGATGTTTAGTTCGACAGCAAATTCCTTTTACTTTACTGTTAAGAGAAAGAGTCACATAATTTTATTTAATCTTTATTTGAAGCTCTAAAGTAAAGACCGGTTTTTGTCACTGCGCTTATAATAATTAAATTACGTAGGTACCTATGCGTATTACTTGTTTTTACCTATTGTGTGTTTAAGCGAATTCGCATTTATAATAATTTTTGTTCCGGGGTGAGTTGGTTGCGTTCAAACAAGATAAATTACGATAATTAAAATCTGGTAGTAA